AACCACGCATTATTATCATACGCCCTTTTTCTCTTCACTTAAGAGGATCCAAAATAAGAAAAAGAATTAAAATACACATGCAAAAATAGCATGGGTTCTTTACATGTTTCATGTATCCTTATATTGGGGGAGGGACAACATACAATCTTTATTACTTCACACCAATCCCGATTATACAGCATTATTAAAATATAGGCCACAGCATAAATATTTTTATACTTTCTCCCTCTCTCCCTTTCTCCCTTCTCCTAACAAAGGTAGCTAGCAATTTGTCAATTCAAATATATGCTAGCTATGTGGGATGCTAATTACCTAGGCTATCATTTCTTATTTATTCCAATATATGGACCCTTTTCCTTTTAGTATCTGTTCCCTGAGAAAATGCAAACGTTGTAGGCACTATAACTTTTGACTGTGAAGCTTATTAATTACAGAAACATCCATATACATTTACATAAAACCATAGCAGGTGCAGGCAATGCTCAATGTGACTGTAGATCCTCAGCTTCTCAGGACCCTCACCTCACAAACTGCTCAGCCCTCTCTGCAGTCAGTCTAGATGGGTTAGAAGCCGTGCGTCTGTGCACTCTGGGCTCACCACTTGTATATTGAGTTGTCCAATTTTGGCCCAGCCAGTGTGGCTCAGGGGTCGAGCATCAACCTATGAACCAGGAAGTCACGGTTCAATTCTGGTGAACCAGGTCACAGTTCAATTCCCGGTCAGGGCAACTGCTGGGGTTACCAGCTCGATCCCCACTGTGGGGTGTGCAGGAGTCAGCCGATCAATGATTCTCTCTAATCATTGATGTTTCTATCTCTATTTCCCTCTCCCTTCCTCTCTGAAGTTAATGAAAATATTTTTAAAAAGAGTGTTATCAATTTTGCTCATGAGTTAACTGAAGAAGTACTAGTAGCAATACAGTCTGACAATAATTATAGTACAACAAAGTGCTTTCTGTTCACTCAGGATCTTTCTGAGATATTCCTCTGAATCCTCCCAACAGCCTTTTTTTTTTTAATCCTCACCCAAGGATATGTTTATTGATTTTGAGACAGACAGACAGACAGACAGACATCAATCAGTTGCCTCCTATACCCACCCAGAACAGAGATTGAACCCGAAACCTCTTGATGTACAGGACAATGCTTCAACCAGCTGAGCCACCCAGCGTGGGCAAAATGTGTGCGCTCACTCTCTCTACTCACATAGAACTGGAATTCAAAAAATGTTCAATAAGGCTGTGGATGGATAGTTCAGTTGGTTAGAGCACTGTCCCCATCTGCCAGGGCTGCGAATTTGATCGCTGGTCAGAGCACATAAAAGAATCAACCAACCCAGCTGGTGTGTTTCAGTGGTTAAGCATTGACCTATGAACCAGGATGTCATGGTCCAATTCCTGGGCAGAGCACATGCCCAGGTAATGGGCTCAATCCCCAGTAGGGGGCATGCAGGAGGCAACCAAACAATGATTCTCTCTCATTAATGTTTCTATGTCTCTCTACCTCTCTGAAATCAACAAAAACATGTCTTAACAAAAAAATCAACCAACGAATGCATAAATAAGTGAAACAGATGTTTCTCTCACCCACTCAAATCAATAAATAAAAAATTTTAAAATAGTAAAAAGTTTTTTAAAATAAAAATTAAAAAATTTTAATAAATTATTAATATCTTTTTTCTAGCTATTATTATTACTATTCCTCTTCCCCATCTACTCTACCCCATAAATTTCCAAATCCCAGGAATGTTCTAGATTGGAAAAGAACAAAACTTGAAAACCCAGTTTTTGCATCACTTTTTTTTGCATTAAATGGAGTAGATGAGGAAATAAAACTGTGCATGGCTCTGTCCCTATCATATTTAAGATGAATACATTGCTTCATTCAACAGGCACTCAATTAAACACAGTATAGTAATCGTACAATTTACTCTTAAAATCTGTAAGAAGGATACGCTCTTGAAACAGATATGCCTCCTCCTACCTGGCAGTAACAGACAAATCAGGCATCATGTTGTTTTAATCCATTCAATAATATTCTCTGCCCCTAATTTTAAAAATGCTTAAGTTGAGATTTTCATTTCTCTCCAAAATATAAAATCATAAAAAAGTAACCTTTTGTTCTTCCATTGGCTTTTGTCCTCTGAGTCAGCCATTCTAAACAGAACAGTAGTATTCCATGCCTCCCCTACAAAACGACATTCGTTGGGACCTCCACTATTCTATTAAAGGTAAATACATAATTTTAAATTTCATGGTGGCATTGAGAACTATTATTTTAACATTTTCTAATCTAGGCCCCACATAAAAACCTTCAAAATTCCATTATCAGATTACTTCAAATCATATTTGTATTTTTCAATGAAAGATTTTTAAGAGTCTACAAAAATAAGTTTTCTCTTTTGTTGTTTTGCTTTTCACAAAATGGTCTAGAGAAAAGCAATAATTCAATGAATACTAGCTGTCACACGACTAGAAATTCCCATTAAGGGGGTCACATATAAGACATGGAAAAATTATTAGGAACATCACATAACTGCTGTTAGAAGTATTGTTTCTCCACTTGGTTTCCTGAAAGACCTAAAGATCACTCTGTACTGCACACAGTGAGCAAAACCAGTTGTGGCGAATGGTGACTTGGTTCCTTACAAACAAGTAGCTTTCCTCTCTTTAAAGAAAGAAGACTGGGTTTCCTTTTCATCCTTCCCACTAAAAAATAAATGGCAATACTGACCATCCGTAAATTCCAAATATCTTTACGACTCGGGTCATGCCTCAAGCAAGTAACTTTTTTACAACACTAGTCAAAGACTTATAAATTTTAGGTAAATGGTAAACAAAGAATTAAAAAATTAAAACAAAGAATTAAAAAATATTGCTACATGGCACTACAAGCTATTAAACTCCTGGGCAGAATATAGTGTTACTAGGCCCAAATTTTCTTTTTAACATGGGATTCGTGTTTTTCAAGTTCTTCCAAACAAATTAAAAAGACAAATGATTTGACTATTCATCATTATATGACTTTAAAAAGGGGGGAAGAAAAAGGGTGACCTCTATTTTTAACGTATTTATATTAGTAAAACAATTTCTATGTTTGCAAGTGTTGGCTGACCCATAAACCACATTTATCACCCACTAAGTCAGCATATCTTAACTTACAAATATATATGTAAGATATTTGAAATATCAAGCAAAGCAAGAATAACAAACAAAACAAGCAAGCTCTGGTAAAACTCTGTATACAAAGTTGTTATAAGCACAGCAGCTGATTTCTGAACTTTAAAATCATGGCCACATACATCCTCCTCCCTTTCCATCAAATTTAACCACAGGAGCTTAGGTAAAAAATTAAAAATAATAAAATTAAACAAGTAAATATGATCACCAAAATATTTTAGAATCTTCCCTTATAAAATGTATTTTAACCATTAAAAACCTCACCCATTCCTAATTTCTCAACAATTTGCGTCCATTCTATTCAACCCTCAACTTATCAATAGAGAATTCATGCTTCTCAAAAAGCCAACATAATTATTGCTGTCATCTCATTAAGAATGTTCTTCTTAGGAACAAAACTCAAAGGTTACAGTTGGCACCCAGACGGTTCACTATTTACGCCACCACCCTCTCCCCTTCCCATCACAACCATTGTACTGGCAGAACATTCACAAGGCTGAAGATTATTTTCATCTCAGCAAACAGAATGCTTAAAAACGGATGACTAGCCCAAACCAGAAGTTATTAGCTACATAAAAATAAGCAAAATGTGCCTAAATTTTTCTATTTTCAATCTCTAAAGAAAGCAGTAACATCTTCAATATTTGCAATGCCCTGAATTATAGCCAGGAGACTTTCACCTAATTATATTAATAAATCGATTTAATGTCATCATTTTGTCATCAGATCATGTCCTCCATACACTAGTGTACTTTAATTAAATCCCTTTTACCATGTTAGGTTCTTCACATATTTTTTCCCAGTGTTTTTCCTATATCATTCCTTACTACCAAATTATTTCTCCATCATGTTTTCCTAAATATTAAGTCTATGAACAAAAAGGATAACCCTGAAAACCACAGAAAAGAAAAACCAACACACCTAAAATACAAAATATCAATGTTAGGTATAAACTATTATTAGGTTGTCAAGAGAAAGGTAAGCATCAAGGTATACACCCAAGAACCCCAATTTAAAACATTATATAGTATACAAAATTTTGGTAAACAGAAGTGAACACAATATTTACATAGCAAAATAGGCAACTACAGCCTCATTTCTGACTTGAGATAAAAATACCTTTACTTCTATGTATTAAGTAAGTAGCCATTTTAAGGAAATATCGCCTTACAGGTACAATAATTTGATTGACATATAAAATAATTGCTTTAAAAATACTTGAGTCATTTTGTCCTTACCTGCAGGCATGAACCATTACTGCATGCAGTGACTGTTCCATCTCCTAGCACAGACTTGAAGAAGCATCATATCTCTCTCTCATAATGTGACTAATCTGAGGGTTTGCAATTCCTAAGCTATTTACAAATGGCACTCCCTTTTCACATAAGAAAATATTTATTACAACCAACGTCAAATGTTTTTAACCTAGATCTTACAGTGTCGGTAATTTTGTGTTACAGCAACATCAAAATATAGGAAGAAAATCTAATGCTAGCATTTTCTTAAAGCAAGCACAATTTGTTTGTTTTTTAGCTAAGTAAATTATTTTTAAAGCCTTCAACAGCTGTCACACAGGAACCCGTGGTCTGCTGTGTTATGGTGTGCATGCTGCAGCTGATTAGGCTTCACTATTTTTTTAAAAATCAATTACCCTTTGTAAAAGCAGAACAGCCTGCCCAAATACACATCTCCAATACAGCACAACGACCAGCATGCAGTACAACGCATTATATAGCAAACTTAAAAAGAAAATAAAATGTCCTGGTTTGTTTCTTAGCAATGCTACACCATTAATTGTTCATGCAAGAGATGTAGCTGTACCTTTCTGAAGAGGACGACTTCTCAGAGTTAACTGACATCAGCAGCTCAATCTTCTGCTTGATTTCTGGAAAAATCAGAAAATATTCACAACCAAGATTGCCTGCCCTTGCTTTCAAGCCTTATATCAAGAGATTTTTCTTCTCTAATCCCTTTTGTTCAAAATGAGGCCACAAGATTCGCAGCACTTCTGCTAGGACTGGGATTCAATGGTGCTATAAAGGGAAAACGCTCCAGAGGCATCAGGCCTTGCTAAACTATGCACATGACTGTTTATGAAAGCAGGAAGTACCATTTCTTTTAAGTAGAGGGGTGTGTTGTTTTTTTTTTAAGGTAGAACTAGGCTGGCCCTACAAGGAGATTTTAAAGGCAACAAATTAAAATACAAACAAAAAGTGCTAACAACTAGATCCAACATACTAGATCATTTGAGACGCCTGGGTAATAAAGTTACAGGCTGTAATGAACAGATATAAAACCCTTGGCTACTTCTATTTCACCAGTCCTGAAAAATATGGCTCAGTGAATCATTTTTGTCACTTAAGAATGAAATAGTAAACCAGAACCCCAATTTATAGATTGAAATTTTTAACCTGTTATAATTTCCTGGTTGTCTTTAATTAAAGGTATATGTAGTATGTACTCCCTACTCCTTTAGAGAAAGACTTGTATTTTACACCTTAATTTCCCCCTCCTCCTTCCCAGTACATACAGCACAAGTGAACAGCAACACCCAGTTACCTAGCACATAATCTACTTCTCCTTTTAGGAAAGGCCTGACAATGCCATCACAAACAGAAACATACGCGCCAATTCAATTAAACAATAACTGCCTAATACTGATTTGGTAAAAAAGATAACAGACTAAAATGGAAAAAGAGGTTAAAAAAAAAAGAGGGAGATGGGAAAAGAGAAAGCAAACTAACACATTTCCACTAAATTATTAATGATTAACCTAATGCTCATAATTTTACATGAATAAAACTGACATGGTCTTATTACCCAAACTATTTCACATGTACACTTGGGTTTTTTTTCCTTTTGTAAATGAGTTTTCCTATTCCTAATTAAAAGTCCACACACCAAAAATAAAACTCAGTGCCACTGAAATGCTTTAGGTAGTCTCAGGATTTCAAAATATACTTCAATAGTTTGGGTTTTGTTTTTTTGTTTGTTTGTTTTTTAGTGTAAAACAAGTTTTAATTTTTACAAATCTTGACTATGGAAACCAAAGGAATATGAAAAATATAATGGAAAAAGGAATAAAAATTAGTTGCATAAAACACAATGGACCTGTACAGGAGTATCCTCTTCATGTTGTTACAATAAGGATTTTTCTAAATTGCTTAAGCTCACAACTTCACCCAATGAGCACTACAAAACTGGCATGAATGTCTAACGAGAGAACAGAATCTACCACAGGCTGTAGCCAAGCCGGCTAATCACTGGGGAGAGCACACAGTACTGAGGTAAACTGAGATGATGATAATGAAACTTACCTTGAGGATTCTTATGTGTGCTACAAAGCCTGGCACCTAGGGTCATAGTGAATGCTCAGTGATGTCCCTCCTTCCAGTTTAAAAAGAGCCCAGTGTTTAAGTGCTCAATCAGGCTCTGCCACCAAGTAGCCTTGGATTCAAAAGCAGGTACCTCCATCATTTTTAATTGCCATATGATTTTGGGAAAATTACTCAAAAACTATAAGCCTCTATCTCCTCTCCTGTAAAATGGGGGTGATAATTCCTATGTGAGGGGCTGTTGTGAGGATTTAATGAAATAATCCATGGAAGTCGTGTAGTGTCATGTTTGCCACGTAAGCCCTCGGTGCTTATCACTAGGCAGGTAGTGCCTAGCAGAGGACAGTCATCCTAAATATTTGCTGGATGTGTTAATGAGGTATACTAGGTGTGTCCCATTTTAAATAGCCTTTCCATAGCTTTAATCCACCCTTTCTCTCTTACTTCCAAGCCTCAACATCTACCTTTTTATCACTAGAGTGGTATTATATGTGGAAATTTAACTTTAACCCATATCTCAGTCTCCCTATCTAGAGAAGTATTCCCAGTTAATCAAGTGGCGTCTTCAGAAATGAGCTTACACCGGAATGTCTTCATGGTAGCAATTCTTCATTGCAAAAAGTTCACACTTCAGGGTATCTATATAAAAGCTGTGCACTGAACCTGAAAACCCTCAAGATTAAACTACACAGCTCAAATGAAGTTTATGCCCATCTTGTAATGTTAGAAAGAAAAGTTAAAGCTCTAAACCATTTTCTGACTGGTGACTTCGGGATCTCCAAACCAAATCGTTTCAAACAACACATGAAAAGGCTTCCAAATCATTTTCACATTTTCATCAAACCTTCAGATTTATTTATAGCTCCAGAAGGATTGAAAGGTTCAAGAATGTTCACAAATACTGTGTTAATATCATATCCTTTCAGGCCCATGTGTTCCATCTACGTTACTACCTACTCAACTAGAGACCCGGTGCATGAAAATCATGCACTCAGGGGGGTCCCTCAGCCTGGCCTGCACCCTCTTGCAGTCAGACATCCTTAGCGCTGCCACAGAGGTGGGAGAGGCTCCTGCCACTGCCGCTGTGCTTGCCAGCCATAAGCACAGCTTATGACTGAGCAGCGCTCCTTCTGGATTGAGCGGCTGCCCCCTGGGGGTCAGTGCACATCATAGCGACCAGTCGTTCCACCAATCGGTCGATTTACATACAGTAGGTCCTTGAGTTACATCGGAGATCCGTGCCTACCGCACGATTTCGCTGTAAGTCAGAACCCACCTACATAAGCACCTATGTCACTCACGTGGAGCACATACACAGCAGTAATGAAGTGAAACAGTAAAAAAAAGTTTAAAAGAAAGACAACAATTCCTGGCCTTTACGTGTGGTAAATAAATAATAAAAAACATAAAGCACATATGTACATACGTCGAAATGATGAACTTTTTTTTTAAATAAATAAATGGGAGATGGCGACGTAACCACAAAACGACTTACATCAAGTCTGACGTAACCTGAGGACTGTATTAGCCTTTTATTATATAGGATGCCTTATCAATACCACCCATGGGTCTGATTACTCCTACAGTCTCTTTAAGAACTCCAAAAGCTATGCCCCTGAGTTTCACTCCACAATTCCTCCATAACCCTTGGGGACTTCGATGTCCATGTTGGTGTGACTTCTGCAAACCCTTGGCTGAGAACAGTGGCCTCCTCAGCAGTTCCTCGTAGTCTCCTGAACCTCTAATCACTCGAATCATCTACATCATGACCACATGTAGTATGCTGCTACACACACTGCAAATACTTCCCCAAAGTTAGCTGGTTGTTTTTCTATTTTATTCACAGTATCCAGGGCCCTATACTTTATTTTTCTGCAATTAAGTCCAGTAATCTTTCCCTTTATGAATTATGTCTTCCTGTTAAAGTCTTTTACCACACAAAAATTTTTAGAATTGTCATCGTACTGTCCTCTAATAGGCTTTGTAATTTTATTTTACATGTAAATATTGGACCCTTCCAGAATTTATTTTTGTCTATAAATTGATGAAGACTTCCAGTATGCTTTCATGGTCACACTTTAAAACCTTATACCCCACCATACTCCCCCAATTCTCAATTACTCTTCACCACTACTCCTCAGGCCTTCCAAAGCAGCAGTACTTACAACCTTGTAAATATATATTTATTCCAACACCCACTATCTCCATTTCATACATTCAGGCCAATGAGTACCAAAAGAGACCACAGGTCCTTATTTCACAAAGAAAATAAGCAAGTGTAATTTGTAAAGCATATTTAAAATTATGGTTAACATGATTTTTAGTCATTATTTTGCTTTAATTTCTAAATAATAGTACAAAATAACATAAGGATTTTTAAAAAAATTTTTATGTTTTTACGATTCTCCTGCTAACTCTGTGTCCTTTGCTGGATCATCTCTTTTCACCAGACCTTCAAATGTTGGTGATTCTTGCATGACCCTCTTTTGACTCACTGACTCATCTATCTACACCCTTGAAACTCAAAACCATAAGGGCAGTGATGACCAAATCTGAACTTCTGGCCCAATACTCTCCTCTGCACCCCAGAACTATAGATCCTTTGACCCCACTAGACATTTTCACCTAGATCAGCGGTTCTCAACCTGTGCATTGCGACCCCCTTGGGGGTCGAACGACCCTTTCACGGGTCGCCTAAGACCATTGGAAAACATATATAATTACATATTGTTTTTGTGATTAATCACTATGCTTTAAGTATGTTCAATTTGTAACAATGAAATTTTATGGTCTTAACCATAAAATTATTTTTGTTGCTACTTCATAACTGTAATTTTGCTACTGTTTTGAATTGTAATGTAAATATATGATATGCAGGATGTATTTTCATTGTTACAAATTGAACATAATTAAAGCGCATAGTGATTAATCACAAAAACAATGTAATTATATATGTTCTCCGATGGTCTTAGGCGACCCCTGTGAAAGGGTCGTTCAACCCCCAAAGAGGTTGCGACCCACAGGTTGAGAACCGCTGATCTAATGCCTCATTTTGTCCTCCTCTCAGTGAACAGCAGCAGCACTGCCCCTCCAAGCCAGGCATTTCTGAAGGATCCTAGACTGATCCCCTTGCCTCATTTGAAACATCATTACTGCCATTCTCCTTTTTATTATATTTTATGCTCTGGAAATGCTGAGCTCTACTCTGTGATTCCCCAAACACATCATGTTTTCTCACACGACCAAGTCTTTTCTTGCTCAGTTTCCTCTCCCTAGAATGCCATGTCCAGTTTGTTTCCCTTGCACACCCAACTCAATTTCCTCATCTCACCCCAACTGTTACCTCCTCCCTGACATCTTCCCAGACCAAAAACAGTTCTCCGCCTCTGCCTCTCTATGCACCACACACATTACAGAACTACTAAAGTATATATGTTACTTATTTGAATGCCCACTGAGACCATAGCTTCCTTAAGGACTAGTAGCTGAATTTTCATTTCAATTCACACTTATTTGTTGCTACTTTTATAGTCATCTCAGCCTATTCTAGTCTAGCCAGTGTTAAAGTTACAACCTAGCAGAGTTAGTGTCCTTAAATATATATTTCCAGGTACAGTTAATCAGAGATTCAAACAACTGCAGAGCTAAAATGATACACGCCATCATCTAGATGAACTACATGAATTTATAAAGAAGTTTAAAGGAGAAAAATAAACTGGTGGCAACATAACCTTCTCCAAAAGA